TGTTTGTTTATGGTCTGGGCGTCTGCGGAGATGATCGGCTAAGCGGCTTTTATGCTCCGCCCCGTGAGTCCAGCCCCTCACGCTGAACCTCTCACGGCTGTTTCGTATCTCAACAAGTGTTCAGGGATCATACGCTAGCTTAGCGCCTGTCGCATCTCTCTTTCTCGCGAGGCATTACGTACACACCGCCCTGAGCGTGGACTGATCATCTCTGCTAACACTGCTTGCAGAGCTGGCTTCGGCGTTCCCCGCCCGCGCATAACCCCGTCTCTCGCGAATCCAAGATTCACTTTTTAAAACTATAAAACCACGTTAGCTGCATAACGCGTGTGCGAGATGCCACGCGTTGCTGTCCGTCCGTGCTGTTGGTTAAACTACTCTGAGTTTTAAACACAACCTGCCGCTCGCCCTATGCGCATTAGCAAGCGGTGTGCCATGGCGACCGCAGCCGGCGGCAAGCGTACGGCCGCCAGCGGCGCGCCGCTATTCTCCGTCGCGAGCGATTGAGAGGCCCGTGTGTGTATTCATGTCTCGCCAAACTAATGATGCGCCGATAGCGAGGAGAGAGAGAAAGGCAGAGAGGACAGCAGCGGACGGAGGAGAAGAGGAGAGAGACGCAGAGAGCATGAGGAGCAGAAGAAGAGAGAGAGGGAAAAGAAGGAAAGGCGATGGGAGAAAGGGAGAAGGCAAGCAGAGAGAAAGAGAGAGAGAGGGAGAGGAGAAGAGAGAGAGAGAGCAGAGAGAAAGAGAAAGGGCGCCGGAGAGGAGAGAGAGAGGAGAGAGAGAGATGAGGAGAGATGGAAGGGAGGGAGGGAGAGGAGAGAGGAGAGGCGAGAAAGAAAAAGATACTATATAGAGACGATCGAGAAAAAGGAAACGCAGCAGAAGAAGGAGAGAGAGAGAAAGCAGCTGGAGAGAGAGCAGAGAAAGAGAGAGAGAGAGAGAGAGAGAGAGGTAGAGACGAGAGAGAGAGGAGAAAGAAAGAGCATAGAGAGACGAGAAAGAGATACGACATAGTAGAGCAGAAAGATAGAGCAGAGAAGAATAGAGGACAGAGAGGACAGAGAGACACGCAGAACAGAGCAAGACGAGAGCATGCAGGCAGAGGACTGAGAGCACGGAGAGACGAGACGAGAGAGAGGGGGGGGGGGTAGGTGGTGCGGGGGTGGTCCTGGGAGGGAGGAGCGCGAGCAGCAGGAGCGAGAGCGGACGAGAGAGAGAAAAGATGGCTCGAGATGAGAGCCAGAAAGGTGGCAGATGAGAGAAGAGAGAAACGAGAAGGCAGAGAGAGAGATGTGCAGAAAGAGAAGCAGAAAGAGAAAGATTGAGAAAGAACAAATCAGCATGAGCAGAGAGAGAGGAGAAAGAGACGAGCCAGAGAGTGGCACGCAGAGATGAGAGAGAGAGAGAGAGAGAGAGAGAGAGAGAGAGAGAGAGAGAGATGAGGAGCGAAATAAAGAGGAAAAGGAAGCTAGAGACAGGAAAGGACGGGGAAGTAAGATTGATAGCGACAGAGAGAGAGAGAGAGAAAAGGAAAGAAAGAGCGAGAGAGAGCGAGAGACAGAGACACCAAAAGAGAGAGCAAGAGAGAGAGAGAGAGAGAGAGAGAGAGGGTGAGACCAAGGAATCATGATAGACGGATACGAACAAAATCTCCAAGCTCTGAGACAAGCACGCAGGCTTGCGTGTATTCCCACGATTATTGCATGCCCTGTTGTCGTTGTCGGTGTGACTGCAGACGGTATCTTTATACTTCATGACTAGTAATCTCCGTGTCCTCCGGCGCATGCGCGAGAGAAATCCTATGTGTGAGACGGCATGGCGGGTATTATGAGTCTACTTGTGTATTTCGAGTTACGATGTGAATGAGGTGAGATTTAGCGTTATGGGTGTAAAATATTATTATTATTATTATTATTATTATTATTATTATTGGCTCCTGGCCTACATATTGATAGGATTGGTGGATGAGTAGTGTGGTGTAGCGGTCGATGAGGTGAGATGTATCTGCAGCTAGTCTTATAGACTGCTGCAGGAAAAGCACGACACAAGCTAATAAAGAATATCATATTAAGTAGCGTTTTATTTTCACGTATTTACATGAAATATATTTACAGGTACGATTACCACGAACATCTGTTAGTCCGCGGTGGCGCTTCTGTCGTTAATCCAACGTTTGTTGACAACTCAAAGTGCCAATTTATCAACTACAAACAACGCAACAAATAAACAAACAACAATATATATTTTGTTCAAGGATTTGACTTTGAACGGAAAATACGTTATTATAAAATTTTAATAATAATTTACCCTGTTAGTATGCGGTATACACAATATCATACCTGAATCTGTGAAATAACACAACATATATACTATATAATCATATCTATATAATGTATTTGTTTACGGCTACACGGTGGTATAGATTTACAAACTTTGAACAGTAGTGTGTTGTTAGAAACAGTACGTATCACTTTTCAACAAAAAATATTTAGAACACAACATTGAATAAGTACGAGCATAGGGATGCTTTATCTCCGGTCCTGGTTGAACGCGAGTAATGTGCATCGATGATGTTACAAGCAAACAATATATTCTTTAATAAAATTTTTAGCATTTCTGTCAAATAAAACTATATACGTTACTGCATCAATTTATTTCGCGTGTTTCATTATAATATAAGTGAAGATAAAAATGAAAGCAATTGTATTACAATAGTTTCATAATAATTTATTATTTTTCAGGTGCAGTCTTCGCGAGGGTTTTAAAGGTCATTCACAACACTTGACCTGCTCACGTGGCGTGTACCACGTGACCTGTTCACGTGGCGTGTACCACGTGACCTGCTCATGCGGCGTGTACCACGTGACCTGCTCACGTGGCGTGTGCCACGTGACCTGTTAACGTGGCGTGAATCACATAACTTGTTCACGTTGCGCGCATCAGGTGACCGGTTTGACTGACGAGTCACCTTGCGTGAATGCGTGACGTGGTGAATCAGAAAGTAACTATCAGTGCTTCACGTGCCACGTCATCAATACTTGACCTCTGCTGAACCTGCAGTACACGACGTCACTTCCGGCACGTTGATCCAGTAAGCGAAGTGCGAGTAGGCCTATGTGCGTCATTGATTCTACCTCATTTGATTGTTACCTGTCAGCAGTCACAAATAAAGAGAGAATTACGCAAAGCAGCTGCATCAGTCATCTAGGTGATTCGACTGTCACGAGTTACATGTTAAGTTGTCACAAGTTACAAAAAAAGTTTGCCCGTTGTCTCTGGATCGAGTATAATAAAAAGAGTGCATTATGTTAGTTTAAATTATATTCCTGAATACACGCACGTACACATACACACACACACACACACACACACACACACACACACACACACACACACACACACACACACACACACACTTGTGTGTATGTGCGTGTGTGTGTGTAATATATTACTTTTACTAAAGAGCTGACGTACTGTAACAGAAAATGTGCTGCAAGTTACAGCACAATATTATTACGCTAATCATACATGGAATTTTAGCTAATAATTATCGCAGTACTTGGGACCCAGAAATCGTCATCGCCTACAAAACTAAATATATGTGTGTTGGCTACATAACCTCGCAATTCTATCATAGTCCTCTCTCTACAGGTGACTGCCCTACTACCGCATTCCTAATATACCGATTGACTTCGATAGATTTCACGACAATGGAATTGTAGAAAATGTAGTTACTAAATTACGTAATAGCGAATGAACGAGTTTGACAGCGTTTACAAGAGACCAGCACGTACGCGGAGTTATAGCCGAGTCTTTAGTGAAAGCGAAACAACATTGAAAACGGTCACAACCTAATTCTGAATGAGTCCGTAACTATTTATAAACAAACCCGAATATCGGATGAAGATCGCGGAACCCAAACCAGATATAACGCGATGCGGGCGTAAAGGCGTAGTGCCGTACGGCGTGCGGCAGCTGACACTGCACGCATGCTATCAAGAGTAGATAAAGAAGCTTAATACGCTTTTGATGCTATGTATAGGTACTATACAGTATATAGGTACTATACAGAGAGCTCGGATGGCATCTCAAGCTCAACTACACGAATCCGGATTTTCAACGCTTTTAATATCGTCCGACACACAATGTCATTAGGAAGTGCAAGGCTCGTAATACCATCGTATATATAGATGAATTCGAATTTCGACCAATGTTAATAACACGGTATGCACGTATCCAGATTTCGATTTGTGTTAATAACACCAATATTAATATCATCGTGTACACGGGTCCGGATTTCCACCGATGGTCGGGACTTGATGATTGTTCACCTCGTGGTGCAACAATCACACGTCGCTATAGCTTAATAGTTATTGATCAACGTTATATTGTGAGTGATGTCGGCCATGCGCGCGCGGGTCTGCGTGCGTGTGCGTGTGATGTGTGTGTGTGTGTGTGTGTGTGTGTGTGTGTGTGTGTGTCCTCGTCTCTCTCTCTCCGCTTCAATCCCGCTGCTCGCGCTCTCTCTTCTCTCCTCTCTCTTTTATCTCTGTCGCATTACTCTGCCTCCATCTCCTCCTTCGCTCAAATTTCGCGTTCGCGACCCTATCTGCCCGACCGCAGCCCTTCCCGGTCTCTCGCCCCGCTTGGTGCCTCTTGAAGCACCTTCTCTCTCCGCCACGGCCTGGCCTACGCATACCATGCCAAAGGACGCCGTGGACGGCGAGTAGGCCGGTGCGCGCTGCCGTGTTTGGTCACGGCTAATTTGCGTGTCGGCGTCTTCCACCACTTTGCCCCTGGCCCCTCACAACAGTGCGATGGATTATGCGCTTGTTCATGAAGGCTCTTACTACGGCCGCGACAGGCGGCGCGCAGCCAGGCCTGTCTCATCTCCTCTCCCGCCATGCACCGAGCCGCTCGCGCCGACACAACACCAGCGGCTGCTCATTCATTTGGCACCTGGTCGCCAGCGGAATGGATATCATGAGGGAGATCAAAGCGTATGCCGCCGCGGCGGGCGGGAGCGGGGCCCGCTGCCGCTGCTGCGATGCCGTGCTGCGACTGGTGTACAATCAGTATGATAGCGGCGAAGATGGACGGAGCTGAAATATTCGAGTTATTTATGATGGAGTGTGATGTCATCGGTTTTGTTATTTCGTTCGGCGATGAAATCCGAATCTTGACTGACGACGAACGATGACGAGACGGTGACGCATGACGATGACGGTGACGTGATAATGATGATCGCTGACCCATATAAGCGGTTAAAGTCGGTATATTTTATTACAAAATGCGATACGTCCACGGTCGATTTAATTAAATATATAATGCATTCAGTTTTTAATATAGCGTTGAATAGAGAAGTGATAAGGCGCGGAAGTGATGTAGCAGTCGTGAATGTCTCATGGCGCTGACATGTTGTACATACATGCATGCTATCAACGCTCCATTGTGAGACATGAGGCAAATGGTATCTAACGATACCGAGATTAAATGCACTTGTTCCAGTGTGATGCAACGGCTGAAATAATACAAGATGCGCATCCAGTGCATACTGGCGAACGGCGTGGTAAATAAATAATTATAAGATGAAGTTAATATTTCAAAATGTAATGTAACGACTAGACAATTTAGGCGTCTCTAAGAAATGATATCAATGAACATCAGAAATAAAGTGCCATAAATACATATAAGAAAAAAAAGAGAGTAAATTACATAATAATAATAGGAATT